CTCATGTCGATTTCGGTTCTGACTCCAGCTTCTCCTCTTCTCCCGTCTCGTCTTTATCGGATTCCTATTTGCTTCTTTGAGGTCCGGCTACTCCAGTCTGCAGAGGAATCACGATTTTAAAAGCAAGTAAAGAGTTCGCCTGCTTCGTTCGATAATTCCTCCCTCCCTGTCGATTCTCAGAAGGTAACAGATCCTAGCCTATTTATAATTTCTATCTAAGCTGAACTAGTTTGAAATTCGGTTGAATCCTATTTTCACTTTTGAGCTCGGTCAAATTCGATCCGCATCCGATTTGTTTTCTAGACGATTCCGGATCGAATCCCTCGCCAGCGTCTGTGAATTCCCCATCGTCGTCGAGACAACTCCGCTTTGAGTTCGATTGCCGCCGATTGTGTCGGTGTCGACGACGGCCGAGGAAGAGGAGAAGGCACATACGCCAGCCTAGAGCACGAGCGCCGCTCCAATCCCTCGCCAGCGTTGCTGTGATTTTGATCGCGAGTAGTGCTGCCGCCGAAGGAACCGATGCTTTCTCCTTCGTCTCTCCGATCTCGCCCTTGATCCGTGCATCGGGTAAGAACCGATCAGTTATCGATTGAGGTCAATATTCTAATTCTTACTAGAACTGATCGTCGTTATGCTTTGGTGTGATTGTTCGTTGTGGTTTTTCTGAATAAAGTTCGAGGAGCCGTCGAGTGCTTCATCCGACGCCCTAGAGATTAGGTTAGGTTTTTCTAATTTGCTAGAGCTTAACTTCTTCGTTCTTTGCTCTGGATGGTCAGACCTTGGTGTTAGTTCTTGATTGTAGCACTAGGTGAAAAGAATCTTTAAACACATCATTCCATATGCTTGAAACAAAACCTTTCTTCAGTTCGTGTTCAGGGGAAATCTGGAAACAAAGGTACGGTTCCTAAGCAAGGATTCATGGGGAAGGAGCAGGAGTGCCATAGAAGCTGCAATGCCACTGCCTGCAACAAAAGACTGAAGTTTCCATGCCACTGCCATGGGTTTAGCAGGTTCTTTTAGTCCATGGGTATTAAAAATTAATGACTACTAATAGAAGATTAAACACTCAATGGGGAACTTTGTAGTTTTATAAGGTTTTTGCCATTGGATTACCGATTTATAGTCACCATAGTTATGCATTCATTAGTTGTTGTCATGGATTTACAAGGTTGCTCGAGTCCATCCATTTTAAGTTTACATGGTTATATGATTATGTTATTGTTTCGGAAAGTTAAACCTGGAGTACTTACATTACATGGACCTACTGATGTTAAACCTGGAGTACTTACAACAGTACCACTTCATCATCACAGCACCCTTATGGCAGTGGGAGCTCCCACTGGCAACAGCTCCGTTTCAGACACCACAGCCTCATTGTCGCCCACGTTCAATGTGAGTTTCTAACCCTTCCTGGTTCCTTCAGTTGCTTCTGTGTTTTGGATGTTCTCTTGGATTTGCTTCTGTGGAAGGGGTCTTCATATTCATGCTTCTGTGGATTTGCATTTGTGTTTTCCCCTATAGTTTTTTTTTTGTTTGGATTTTTTATATGTGTCATCGGATTATCTATTCGATGAAAGGGAGCTGTTTTGAGAGTCTCCTTGCATACACCATCATGACAATTTGTTCTCAAACTTTTCTATGCCTTACAGTATACAACGACTAATGTTTTTTTTTTTACCTTCATCTTCTTTTTTATCTCTGTTTTGCAGGCAGCTTCTCTAGAGCAAGGGCTGAGATACGCTCCATTGCTTGTGAAGAATATATTTCTGGCTGAGATACGCTCTTGGAGTGTTATATGATTATCTGGACGTGCTTCTTTATCCTTTCTTTCATTCTTGTCGGATCCTTTCAGGGAACAAGTAGGTATGTTGTTTGATCTCTCTGGGGTTTGGTTGTCCAATCAATTAATGCTCAAGTCAAAGGCACATCCTTTAGCTATCATCTATACGATAGCTGGCTAGTTTCTCCCTCCGCGTTGGCTAGAGAGTCTTGTTATGGGAAGTCTTACTAGTTTCTCCCTCTGGCCATTAAAAGTGTGCCATGAAACTTTCTTTTTATTTGAACTGATCACTACTGAGATGCAGCAAAATGACTCCAGTTCTAGTGCACCAGACCCTGCTGCCGAGGCTTTCCTTGCCAGCTCACTACGTTACATTCAGTTCCAGAAACAGAAAGGCGGTACAATTGGCGAAAGATACCCTAAGTTAGATGCTTATATATTGTCTTGAAAAAGATTCTCAAGCAGTAGTCACCCTAAGTTAGCTGGTTATTACCTTATGTTAGTAAAATGGTATTGTTTTCATGAATGTGATTGTCATCCTGTTGGTGGAGCATAAACATGGGAGCCTACTGATTTTGGTTTATTTGTGTATCTGTTTTGTAGTAAAAGCAGTAGGATCTCAAGAGGAGCTTCATGATTTAATGGTGAATCATGAACCGAGATGATCAATCATGAAGCATGGGAACTTAGAAATCTGTAATTCCACTGATTAGTATCGGCAGCAACATCTCTGCATGTGGAGGTGACTCTAACAGGTGAGTAATGGATTTGTTTTTCCTAGGATTGGTATGCTATTTATTTGGTGAGACCCATGGATTTGTGATTGTCGAAAATGGTTTTGTTCAATGAAAGTCTTGAACCAACCAGAAGATTAAAGGATTCGATTCCTTTTCCCTTTTTACTTCTTTTTCTAGATAATAAATCTTGATAATTTTATAAATAGTATTTGGTTGAAAACAAATCCCCGGTTGGGCCATCCGAAGCCGGCGATGATTAGGGTTAAGGAATGCACAGAGCAAGACCCTAGGTTGTGCAATTGATTTTGGTCTCTGTTGGAGGAAACTTTGCCTTCTGTGGGTTCTGGTTTTGATTCCTTTTCGTAATGTAAATTTGTATTATCAAGTTACTAATTAGTACTTGAACTTTGCCTCAGCAGCTGCTCAAGGAGTACAAAGGCAAGCTAGCCAAAGTTGCAGGAAGCAACAGTCCTCCAAGGCAGTTCTACGTTTATGCCCTCTATGGCTTCGTCCGAGCTCGGGTATTCTAGCTCCTCGTTTCATATTGATAGGGTATCTGCTTATTTGTATGCTATCTAAGGTAGTTTTGTTGAAGGTTGTTATCTCTTAAAGAATCTAGGTCTTTCAGGCTGATAATCTAGGGTTAGGAAACCAGATTATTGTAAAGATATGGGGGAATGAAATTGTGGTTCCAAAGAGCTTGAAACTGGGAGGACTGTTGCTTTGAAGAAGGTTCGTTTTGACTCTTGTTTACTTCTCATCTACCCTGTAGCATATACCTAGTGTTTGAATATATGGAGCATGACATTGCTGGACTGCTTTCTTGCCCGGATGTCAGATTTTCCAAGTCACAGGTTAGTTCCCATTTTATGTCATTGGTGAAGAAGCTTTTGAATTTTGAAGTTCTAGCATATGTATTAATGTTGTTTGTTATGTTTTTATTCTCCCCTCTGCAGATCAAGTGTTCCAAAGGTGGAATGGCAAATCAAAGATACGTGAAGTAGTTAGTGTGGCCTTTAGGTCCTCTTTTTATTTTTTGAAATAGTAGGCCGATTCTTAGTGATAATTTGGTGTAATTGTGATTTTGGTTACTAAACAATAAATTGTGAACTATAATTTTAGTTGGTAAACAATTTTGTTATATGAAATAATTTTTTATTATAATTCTATTAAATTTTAATATTTTTATTTTAGTGACCCAAATCTCATCTACCAAATTGGTCATATGAAATGAATTTTTTGGTCGGCGTATGTATTTTCCGCAACCAATTCTTTTGGTAGCATTTAACTTTTATAACCATAAGAATTAGTCGTAAAGGGTATGGTTGGTCACCATTCATATATTTTACGACCAATTATTATGGTTGTGTTAAAATTTTAGAACTAATAAAATTAGTTACCTAAAATAATATGATTGGTCGTCATATGGATTTTTAACGACCAAATTTTATGGTTGACTAACAATTCAATAACTATAATGATTATTTGCCAAAAATTATATGAGTGGTCGACATATGTATTTTTGACAACCAATTTTTAAGGTTGCGTTAAACTTTCATAACCAATTCCATTGGTCACCAAAATGGTTTAATTGGTTGAGATATGTGTTTTTCACGACCAATTGTTATGGTTGTGTTAAACTTTTATAACAAATATAATTAGTCGTCTAAAATAATATAATTGGCCGGGATATGTGTTTTTCACGAACAAATTTCATGGTTGTTTTAAATTTTCGTAACTTAAACAATTGGTTGTTGTAATGATATAATTGGTTGACATATGTTAATTTCCCAACCAAATTGAATGGTCACCTATAAAACGTACATAAATTCTATTTGCGACCAAAAAAATAGGTTACTAATAGCCACATCAAATTGGTTGTCATTTTTATTTTTCGCGACCAATCAATTATATTTCCCAACCATTAAGTTGAACTATGACAACCAAATTAAAATGGTCGCGAAAAAGTAAGGGTTTTTACCATTGGCGAATTTGGTTGCGAAAGCTTTCTTTTTTGCTACCAATCCACATTTTGGTTGCGCTAGGAATTAGTAACGCGGCTATAGCGACCAATGCTGCTACCAAAATATTTTAGTCGCAAAAAGCTATTTATAACCAATTTTTGACCTTTAGGAACCAATTGTTTTGGTTGCAAAAAGCCATTTTTTTGTAGTGTTCCCTGTCTCTCTAAACTTTTCTCCTTATTAATATTATATCATCCTTATAAAAAAATTACTATGACAAAGCTGAATTTCTCACAGGTGATTAGCTTTGGATCATGGTTTTGTGTAATGCCCATAAACTACCACCATGGAATGTTTTGAGGTCAATGTCAATTGTCTAGTGGGCGAAGGAGATGTACCAAATTGATATAGCGAAAGGGTTTTGATCGCTTGAAGTGTTACAAGTTTGTGTTAGTGTCCAACCATGGATCAATCATCATACACCAACCAATGACCATTAGCGGGAAAGCAAATTACCAAACTTATTATTATTCATTATTCTTATTCTGGTTTTGATGTCTTCCAATGATGTTTGATCGCCAGCTCTTCTCTTCTTCATGGCCGAGTAGTAGCAGCATTGTAGTCTACTGGATGCGAAGTTGCAGAAGAGGGGGATTGAGCAAGAGAGGCCTGAGCTGGAGATGATGTGCAGCAGTATTTAACTTTTTCATTACAACAATCCCAATCTAGGCTTCTGCCGTTACCAACTCCAGGAGATGGAATTTTTTCTGGAGAAGTCGAGGTTTCAGAGATGTCTTTAACAGCTTCGCAGTGATAAGTCATGGCGGCAGCGACAATCACAATGAGAAGGCCAAGTGGTATAACAATGGCATTCCTCATCCGTTGAGCTTCCATATTCACTCTTCCTGTCTTCTGATATCTCGTGGCTTAACTTTATAGAGTTGGAGTGTGTTTATGTTGTATGCTGAGTGATGTGCTAGAGATTCATGTACATTTATAATCTCATCGAGGGAGCCACTTGGCACTTAGGCAAAACAAACTTTTCCTTAGTTGGATCTTTGACAAATCTACAAATAAATTTTGCATTTATACGGTCAGATTTCTCTTTTGGATGCTATATAATAAGTTTCCAACTAAATTTTGCATTATCAAAGTAAAAAAAATATAAAATTTGCATTTTTAATATAAAATAATAAATTTTGCATTTATTGAATCGCCTCTCTCTTCTGGAAGCACGTAAGGCAATTCCTAAATAAAAGTTTCATTAATTGTATTGCCTTATGCACAAATATCATGGATAGGGGTGGGCAATCCCTGGATTGATATTAATTTACTCGCAAATACTCTAACCCTCAACTAGTGGATAATTGATATGGGTGGATTGTGGATTGATAAGTATCTCACCCGCACTTATATGGGTGAGTGGTGGATGAATTGCAGGCAGGGACGGAGCCAAGATTTCGAGACCGGGTTGGCCGAAAATAGATAAATGTAAATAAAAACAAAATAATTATTTTTAAAGTCTACAACATTCTTTGAGATCATTGAAATCTCTCAAAATAGCATATGAACAAAAAAAATTTAGCTATATTTATGTCCATATAAATAACTAAATCATTAAACAAGAAACAAATCATTTATTTTGTTTCGCAATTTGTTCTTCGCTATCTTTATACCTAAAAACATGCACGATCACATGTAGTTTTAGAAAGTTGGAAGAGTTAGAAGAAGACAACTCAGCCTATCAACAAAATAAAATTCATTGACACTAAATAGAGGTTGATTTTTTCATTTGTAGCTAGATTAAAGTAACAAAAAGAATGGAAAGGAGTGAGTATCCGTTTGCTTTGGTCCAGGACCTTGTGGAGGAGAATTATTAAGATAATAAAGTCCAAAAAGAAGTTAAAACAAAAATGAGGTTGTTGTGGATCGAACCTGTTTGTTTTAGGCTAAAAGTTTAGCTTAGATACCATTAGACTACTAATTCTTATATGATACAATGTATAGGTCGAACACTACTTATCCAAAAACTTTATCTAAATATTCTTACGGTCCTAGGGGTCGAGACTATTCTCGGGTGGGCCGGGGCCCACCCTCCTCTCTGAGTAGCTCCGCCCCTGATTGCAGGTTACCAGAATGACCTGCATCGTATTTTCACATGAAACGTATTGTTTTTACTACTATTATTGGTTATCGTTTTGTGTAATATCCATTAGATATTAAATATTAAAATATAAATTATTGTTGATGTCCATTGAATTTCGGGATCAAACCTTTAAATTAATAATTTTATCAAAATCACAAAATGCGTAAGTTTTCTCTACACAATTGGTTGACAGAATAGTAAATTTCTTATGTAAATACTACATGGATTCACTTGAGACAAAGTGAGAAGTGTTTAAATTGATACAGTCTTACTAATTTATTATGAAATTATTATAAATGTTAGTAAATTTTTTTAATAGTTAGTTGGAGAATTGTTTTTGCTTGTTAATCCATGACCTAACCACACTCATCCGCCACTCACCCAACCCGATCCGTAGAAGAATGTGAGTGGATTGCGAGTCACAATTATTACAACTCGCTAATAAGCGGGATTGGGTCAATTTGAAACGAAAACCCAAGCAACCGCCCATTGCCCACTCCTAATGGATACTATACTAATTTTCAGAATTGGGGAGGGTAATATTAAAGTAAAAAAATATGATATCAGATACAATGAAAGTCAATATCCGATCAGCTTTCAATCCTTTTGACTACGGTCAAAGAAAAACTATATGTCATCTCCATGTTGACTGTGGGCGACACAAAAAGAATTTTTTTTTTCTTTTGTCAATTCACCTTTCTCATTAGGAGTGTCACCGGTTTCGGGTTTTCGGTTTAACCTGAAACCGAATCGATAGCTGCTGTTTCGGGTTCTGGATTTTCTGTTCCAACCCGAATTGTGATACAACGGTTTTGATTCCTCTGAAACCCGAAACCTGCTAATAACCCGAAAACCCGAATGTTAGCTGACGGACTCCCCGTTGCCGTTTTGAAGAGGCAACGGTCGCCAAACCTAGCTTCGCCAAAAACCCAGATCTCTCGCAGCACTTGAATGGGGATTCGATTCATCACAAACCCGATCTTACTCATCACTAGCTGCAGATCTTTCAGAACGAAAATGGGGATTTGATTCTCCAACTTCTTATATCAGCCAAAATAGAGATCTCGATCTTACCCATCTCCGATGAGTCCAACGGCACGCGGCGGCGGTCGGTGTAGGAAAAATCGCTGAAGTTGATGTTTCCGTCGTTGGTGAGAAGTCCGATCAAGAATGAAGGACAGGGAAGTAAAGTGGAGAGGGTTGGAAATTCCAAAATGTAAATACCCATTTAATTCAATAGACTTTTCCATTTTTGGGAGTGGCAGAAGCTAGCTGGAGCTCCTTCCCGAGAAAGGGATTTACAGAAAAAGAAGAAGAGGAAGAGAGAGGGATTTGGAAGGAAGCGGGGGAGAGGGATTCAATTGCACACCGACAGTTTTCATCTTCAACACTTTCGGATTTTCGGGTTGCATGTACCCAAACCGAAACCGTCACCACCTTTTTTGGGTTCGTGTAATCAAAAACCGAAACCACCACTCCTTGGTTCGAGTTCGGGTCTGCAGCAAGTGACGAGTGTGGATTTTCGGTTTTACTGATTTCGGGTTTGGGTAACCGGCTTGCCCGAACTGACACCCCTATTTCTCATACTTGTTAAACAACGGCCTATAAACAGTTATCCTGTTAGCGGTGTAATCGATAATCGAATCGGAATAAGTGATTAACGGTTAATCCGATATCATATTAAACAATAATGGTAAGTTCTCGGTAGTCAAAATTAGCTAATTAATAGCTAACTGACAGTCAAACAATTGGTAACCGACGTTGGAAGTCATAATTAAAAATAATTAAAAATGGGAAGTCATAATTAAATAATTAATAATAAAATTAGTAAGCTTATCTGAAATGCGGATGTCATTGGAATCCCCTCAAGAGATGTAACCGCCATAATTGTAACTGCTCTGGAATCCATGTCGCCGCGACAGTCCCTTCGGCCATGCCCTCAAAATCCCAGCCTCCGGTCAGCCATCTTCTCCTGCATGCGTCCATGCGTCCCAGCCTCCGGCCAGCAACATTTCTGAAACATTATGTGTCACCGAAACAAAAATGGGTGTTTTTAAGATCGTTACATAGATAACTATCGTTGTGATGTTACAACTGTACATTTTGTGGCCAAGGGTGTGAAGGTTGTTACTAAAGATCATTCTCATTGTGGGGCAGTGGTGGATCCAGGGCTGGGCCAACCTGGGCCAGGGCCCAGCCCTCCTTTGGATCCAGAGGTTATATTGAGCCCCTCCACATCTTTTGGCCCACTGCTAATCATGCTGGCCCAGCCCTCTCGTCCGCCTCCCAAACGTCAAATGATGGAGCTATGGACTCCAAGCTAGTTAGTTGTGTCGTGAAGTGGGTAATGGGTAATTGTTGGGTTTATGTATGTGGGTTTTGGATTATTAGTGTATGGGCTCAATTAGAAGATTAGTAGTGCTAGGTTGCCGAGTTAGCCAGGGAGAAATGAAGGGTTCAGCTATAGTTAGGCTAATAGGTAGGGTTACATATTATATAAATGTATTTGCCGCGTTAGTCTTGGGAATCAATCAATAAAAATAAAAGGGGGTTTTATATCAATTTTGTGCTCTTGCTTGTGACTTACAAGTAAAACTCTGGAACCGTGAGTTACAGTTCATCACCAAAACTGTAATGTTTGATGCATATGTGGTTTGGATCAGGGGGATTATTGCTAGTATTAGCTTCTTTATTTTTTTAAAAACGTTTCATGGATAGGGGTTTGTGATAGGTCAACTAGGATTAGTAGGGGTTACGTGGGCTATTAGTGCATGAGTCTAGTAGTGCGTCGGTAGTAAATGTGCCGAGTAGAATGGAATGGAGCCTTTAAAATATAGGGAGTTTGTAAATAAAAATCGAGAAGTACCGGTGGTTTATTTGGAGAAATGCTATGGACAAGTGACCTAATTTTGATAATAAGAGATGACAAGGAATGAACCATTAGAATTGGGAAGTGAATTAGAAACTTGAGAATGTATACAAATACTGTGCTATTTGATTATGCAGATTTGAAGATAAATGACAAACTTATTTGAAGAGTTCTAATTGTAGACAAACTTGTCGAAGAAAATGAGATGCATTCTTTTAAGAATGAGGTACCATATTATATACTCCCAAATTTGCGCAAAATTCATTAACCATATGTAATTGTCTATTCAAATACGGCCCAGTGCTTTATTAAATCTTGGATCCGCCGCTGTTGTGGGGTTCTTAATAGCCAATAGTACATGGATAAAAATCAAAGAAAAATGGAACCGGACCAAAATCATGTTTGGTTTAATTGGATTGATTTGGTCCGATTCAACTTCAATTTCAGTTCATTTTTTTCGTCCTACTTCAAATAATTCATCGGATCAAAATCGAATCTAAATATATCGATTCATTCGGTCCAAATATCGATCCGGTCTGATGTGAACCGAATCGTTGTCCACCTCTACCGATGCGAGTGGTACGACTACAGTGTTCGAGCCTTGAGGAACGGCGGCGGGCTGAAGAAAAGCTCTCGTCCTCGCCTGGTCGATAGTAAAAAATGCCAGATAGCGTAGCCAAGTGTCCATCGAAATTCACATTTCGGCTATGTAAGAAGCATCTTCCTTTTTCCCGCTGGGGATGGAATACGGTCACAACCCCCTTTGGGGGTTGTGAGATTGACCACCCACTTTTTAACCATTGGATACACTCTCTCTCCTACCTCTTTTTTTCTTCAAATTGATGATTAGTATTAAAAGAAGGGTAATTATTGAATGAAAAAGTATTATCATACAAGATCCTTTCTCATTTTCTATATAATCTATTTTCATATATAATCTGGTGGTACCCTACTAG